AAAACTGTTGAGAAACAGTAATTGTGTCTTAATACATCCACATATGTAACATTCACTCTACTCCATGTTCTTCCTCTTCTATCCAAAGAAAGGTCATGATAGTTTTTCAAATCTTAGTAACACACATCATGTTCCTTGTGTTTAGAGTGCAAGGAGAAATGTAAAATCATTTAAATCCTGTCCAAGGCTCCACAGCCCCTTAAATTCAATCCTAGATATCAGTCTCCTAAATAAGACAGATTTTTAAAAAATCCAGATCACTGCATTATTTCACAAAAATGCCAAAAATAGTCCTATCTTGCAATATTAAAGAAAGTGAAAAGAAATGCCTGTATCTACCCTCCGATCCAGATCTGCAACTAAATTGTATTGGTTCTTCCCTGACCCATACCGCATGTTTCCACCAAGTTGTGTGGCAATTCCTCCAATTGTTTCTGTGTTATCCTGCTAAATAACAAACAAAAAGAAGAAGCATTTTGCCTTCCTGGGCTTCCGTAACTTTAACCTCATATGCTAAGACAAAAGACTGTATTACAATATGTGTGATTATGTATCTAACCACATAATTTACTGAACTGTTTTACACTTCATTTTTCCCTTTTCTAGCATATTATTGACCTCACAGATCCAAAGTGGATATTTCCAGAAGAGAGAAAGCGCAAAAGACAACATTCTACCAATATCTTGGCAGTGATAGACTTGACTGAATGTAATGAAGAAAATGGGACAGAAAAGATGAAAAATGAAAATCAACACTTAAACAAACAAGATTTAAAATTGGAGAAAAGCTCTTTAAGAGATTCAACTGTTCTTGCACCACAGCAGGACTGTGGTGACCTGAAGCCAGAGTTCAGTTGCTTGGATCCTCAAAACCAAAAGAAGAAATATGAAATACATCCCTGTGCTCACACACCAGTAATAAAATTAAGACGACTCCCGTTTCTTGAAGCGCATGTCAGAGATTTGGAAACATCAAAGTCTCCTGTCCGTTTAACCAAAGACTGCACACAAATGTCACTGAGCTTTAAACAACTGGACATGAACAATGATGCATCAGAATCCATGATTGCAGCCTCTATTGTTCAATGCATGGAACCTTCACTTGATGAGTCTTCTCCTAAGGTCACTGAGTCTCTTGTCACAGAGGAACAGCAGGAGAACCGTAATGAATTTACTAGTAAACATTTACACTACCTCGCTTATCACACATCCCATCACTTTTCCACCACCAGAATGAACCCTTCTGAGCTTTTGGACCCTGACCCTCTGTCACACATAAGTCCCGTCTCTCGTGATCCTCAAGTCGATCCACCTCCCATTTCTGAACGCACACAGGTCGAAAACACAACTGAATGTCAGTCAGACGAGGCTGAAGTTGAAAGGCCCTCAAACAGCCCTAACTCCTACTTTAGCATCCCTGGTGAACCTCCTTTGCCAATATCTAAAACCAAGGACATGGATGAAAGTCCTGTGGACGAGGCGTATAGAGGGGAGTTGGAAACTGACAGTCCACTGTCTTTTTTCTGGCAAGAGGAAAGTGATGAAGTTAACGAAGAGAACAGATTTCACAGTAACATCATGGCAGCCAGTGAAGAGGACAAGCATTTCGTGTGCCCGGATGCACTCAAGGAAATAATGTCTGGATCATATCGAGGCCTGGTGAGAGACAATTCTTCATGCTTTTGTATTTGTAATTTTCTGTAGCTCTCATTACACGTCATATGTTGTATACTATGCAGAATGCTGAGCTTCTCTTTTCAATGTTTTTTTTTTTCTTTCTAAGATTAATGTGGAATACGAAGCTTTTGGAACTCCAAAGGTGCTATGCTATCAGAGCCTGGGCCAAGTTTACAGTACCATTGATGAGGACTATCCAGAGGGCACTTTGGAGCTCTTGTCTGATCTACTACAGCCTGGTTTCTATCCTCCCAGAGATATCTCTGAACATCTACTCCACAACATTCTGCTCAACCTGCAGCGTCCCCATCACCTGTGTGTGCAGGCGTTTAATCTGCTGATGAGGACACAGAGGTGAGGAAGTCAGAGTTAATATTAATATACTATCTGTATCCTTTTTTATTAGAAATATTTAATCTGCCTTTTATATCTTCTCTCTTCTCATTAAGTTTATGAATTCAGAGATTTAAGCTGCTCTCTGATTGCAGGCACCACATGGCTGATAAAACCACAGTTCCATGGGACTGGGAGTTGTTGACCTCAGTCATGGTCAATCAGGTAATACTCCAAATATGCCAAAGCTGGGTGATGTATCAGTATTTGATACAATCAGTATTGTTGAGGAAAGGATCATTTATGCTTCCTGTATGTACAAACAGAGATACGTCCTTCTCAAACGATACAGTCATCACTGCCCATGTACTTCCCTGTGTCCTTTTATGTTGTGATAGTTGCTCAGCAATACATCCAATAGAGGGCAATAGGCACCTGTAGTTTCCTACCAACTCAAAAGTCGCTCCTATATTTCTATATATTTTTTCATTGTTACTTATTACTTGGTGATGTCTTTTTGACTCTAGCTGCTGCAACCCCTGCACATTTCCCCATTGTGGGACTAATAAAGGACTTCTTATATTATCTTATCAAAGAGTTCCACCATTGTTTAAATGTCTTCCGTGTCCTATGATCATCTCACCTGAACTATTGCTGACACTGCCCCCCCATGATTTCTGCTGGTACTGCTCCATTTTGGCTTCTCCTCTGTATCTGTAAGCTTTCAGGAGACGTGCATGCAGAGTATGGACAAAGGACATATCAAACTTTGACCATATATGAGCCTTCAGACCATTTAATTGTTTCCCCCTCTTGTCTCAGAAGCTGAATTATAGTTTGGGTCAATGGTACAATTTTATGAACTTATTGTTTCATCTGAGGAAAATTAATTGAAAATGTTCCTTAATGTTGTTTGTAAATGCAATTCTGAAAGATCAACAAAAACAACAAAAACCCTAAAATAATGTTTGTTTATTGATATTGTCACTAGTGGAAAATATTGGATAATAGTCACAATTTAAATGTGCAGGCTTATTAACTGTTGCAGTTCACATATTTACATGTCTCCCTGTCACACCATGTGACCCTTCCCTAGGACTATACAATTAAACATCAATGTGAGGTTGTGCGCATGTTCCTGGAGTACGTTGTGCAGACCCTGGAGGATGACTTCCAGGCCAAGCGCTCTGTTTCTGCCCTCCATCACTCTATCACCAAAGCCACATTGTCATGCGATCATCAGTTCCCTCGAGTCAGGTAAGTTTGGTAACCAGAGAAAATGTTGGATTCAGCATTTTTTTAAGTTCATTGCACATTACTGTGATACAATATATATATATATATATATATTTACACATTTTCAATTTGTTGGGTACACCAAGCTAAAGCGAATTCAGCTTTGCAATACAGTCAGTTCTGCCTTCACGATGATTTTCAGGTTGGTGGAGATTTTTAATTGGACTCTTTTACTTGGAGGTGATTTTATTTTTTAAACCAACCATAGTTAATATAAATTAAGTGAAAACAATGTTTGAAATTAAAGCATGTTCACCTTTAGTGATCACATCAAATGTCATTTGCTCACATGAATGATCATTCCCACACACTGCCTTCTATACAATAACCTAGCTTCTACTTTGTGCTTTGTTACTGCATTGAGTATGTTGTGTATTTACAGTGGCATATAACGTGTACAGCTCTTCTCTGTTGATGGAAAATGTTTTTTAAAAAACTCCACCGCTTTAATGTAAAACAAACTCACAGCCAGTAGATAACCAGGTTTGTGAAACCTGTTATGATTGCTAGTGTGAGACTTCCTGAAGCTACATAACTTGAGCAGACAGCCCAAAGTTGAGCCATAACATATAAATTACAAAATAACTTGTGCTATTGTGATCACATAAATTGCTAGCACTTTTCACTCTTCTGGTGATGTTTTATTGTTTGTTTGTTTTCAGGGATGTCATCAAGTGGCTGTTTTCTGCCATTGTGAAATCGACAGAGTATGGAGAGAATAGAGAAACATTCAGAGAGAAAGATGAACAAATCAGGTGAATAACTGATGTTTATAAAGCTTGGCTTTGCCAGACCAATTCAGCATCTGGACATAAACATGAGTTTTCTGTTGGTTTTGTTTCCAGGCTCATGTATATGTGTGGCCTCAGTCAGATTTTTTTCTTTCTCTCCTGCAGAATTGTGCTTGTCTTCCAGAGGATGCTGTCTCTGGCTCTGCAGGTGGACAACTCTCCAGCTCTCAGCTCTATCAAACTGGCCCAGGAGCTCTTCCATATGGTCATCAGCAGTGAGCCTTTGCGAGCACACAGGTGAGGAGGAGCAGGAAGCAAGTTGAGCAGGTTTTTGTATTCACCTTTCAAATGGAAGGTGAAATGAGAGTGGGAGAAATGTTTTCTTTAACTGTATATAATTACACGATATATTTGGCATAATTATAGCTCTTTATAATGTTAAATATAACAAAGAGTCCTGACTGGATGCAATGCAGATGCATTTGAGAGCAAAAATCTGAATTTTTCAGTCTCCCAATGAAGACATCCTCACCTGCTCTCTGCATCAGCTAGCAGGGTGAGTGATATCACTTAAAAAGAAACCAACATTCGCCCTGGCTCTTTCTGCAAAGGCTTCATGCACTTGCCCAAGTGTTTTTTAAATTTTAATCAGTGAAGTTAAACCTCACTAGTAGCCACTTGCTTGCTAG